TTGATCTGTTCCCTTTATGTCTCAGGGGTGGCCACCCGTATCTGACAGGTCTGGCGGTGGCAGGAGGAGCGTACTATCTGGGTCTGGAGGGCGCCATCATCGGGCCCATCCTCCTCTGCATCCTGGTAGTTGCAGCCAACATCTACAGTGCCATGCTGATGAGCCCCAGCTCTGCACTGCCAACACCGGTGCAGTCCAGCTGGCCGCTCCACCCCATCAGGTAAAGATCAAATCTGAAACAGAGAGCTGATTAAAATCCTCAGACTTTTCTTCAACCATACCGTCACTGTCCTCTTGCTTGTTGCTCTCAGGAACTTCACAGACTCCACCCCCTCTGTCCTGAAGAAGACCAGTGAGTGAGAGAGCAAGAGGGTGTGTTCCTGTGAACATGTCCATCTGGTTTCCTATTGGCTGATTCCTCAGGGGAAGCGCTCTCCTCCCTCAAGGCTCTTCCCTACGCTGCCCGGCTCTCCAGGAGTCGGCTGCCCCCCCCTCCACCTGCCCGACCGAGAAGAGATGGCGACATAAGGGCTGGTCACCCGTGATGCTGTCTGCTTACCACAGCTGTTTCTCACTCAAGACCCTAAAACTACAGATGCGAGTGTTCATCCTGATCCCAAACACGGACCAACGACACACACATTGGGCTTTACGATTATGAATGGCGGAGACCTTGATGCTAATCACATCATCTCTCAGTACTCAGTGCCTAAATTGACTTTGTAATGTTTAAAAATGCCTGAACCTACTGTATCGTGTAGTTTGTGGTGAATTGTAAGATGATATATTTTATCTACAAATCCCCCGATTTCCACCCTGCACACCCCGGCCGTAAGCTACGGTATGTGGTCGTGCGGTAATTGTACTCCCTACCTCTCTCCTCGTGGAGGCTCAAGTAGAGTTGTAGTGAAGGCGAAATGAACATAGAAGTTCTCACTGCCTGGCTCAAGAGAAGGAGTTGATGACTGCTTTATAGTTTAATGTGTTATTCACATTTCAGTCATAGTTTGCAACACTAGATATCTGCTTTGACAAAGACTCACACTCCTGCTCACCTGGACCAGGCTTTGTTACCACTGTTTCACTTTTTGTACAGTTGAATCATAGCATAGTCTCTGTTTATTCTTTTTTTTTATTGGCGGCAAGGTTTAGACTGATGACGTGGATCTGTGGATCAGATTAGATGTCCTGCTTTCAGGGAATTTGGTTTGAATCCGACATCAGAAGATTACTGAGGGATTCTGTTTTTACATTTTTAATTTATTTTTAACCTTTTGTTTGTTTTTCAAACACACTGTGAGTGCACATACATACATGCAAGCAAGCTTTTCATTTCTAACACGCTTGACTGATCTGTCAGTATTGAAGCACGTTTACACTCAGAATATCTTGATATTGATCAGTTGGACTGAGTATTTCTGTGAGAACTTTCAAGACTGTGACTGTCGTCCCCATCCCATGATCTCCTTAGTAGTTTTTTGACCTCACGCACCTTAAATCCGTTAGAGATGTCTTTTATATATATTTTTTTGACTCACCTCATAAACTCCTGCACTTACTTACTCCATACTTAAACTACAGTCGGAGCACTTTTCTGAACAGAGTACAAAGTAGTTTACATTACTTAAAGCTTTAATAAACGAGATGAATTGTTTGTGTAATGTGACACATTGATCAAACATGGCTACTGTGTTAGCTGCCTGAGGGAGGGAGGGCTGTGATGTGTTCTGTGTTGGAACAAGCGTGTGGTTTAGCAACAGTTTCACTGTTTAACTAAATTACTGTAATTTTAATTCGGTACTGTTTTACTACTGGATATGCACTGACACAATAAACATCATTTAAACTGCAGTGCCTTTGTTTGGTGTTTTATTAAGTTATAAAATGGAAAATACCTTTTAGTATTAGTATAAGGTTTATACCTATAAGTAGTGGTTACCTTGTAAGACTTTACCCGGTGCTTTCTGTGACATTTCACCACTAGCAGAGGTGGAGATGACAGATTATTGTGACTGACAAAGGAAAATAATTTATGAATAAAGTGGCTGGGGCAGGAAACTGTATCAGTCTGATAAATTTCCCCGACTGGACATAAAAACTAAGCTAATAATATTAGTGAAAACCGCACTTATTGTCCCTACTGTTAAACCTGCTTCCGTCAGTGTTATTTATATTATATAATACTTATACCACTTATACAGTGGTATGCAAAAGTTTGGGCACCCCTTACGAAAATCACTGCATCAGTTAATCACTTGCTGAGCTTTTGAAGCAGCAACTTCATTTTAACATATGTATACCTTATGGAAACAGAAACATCTCAGTAGTGAAATCATTTTTATTGGTCCAACAGAAACATTTTTATGTGCATTTAAACAAAAATAGGCATGTGTATAAATTTGGGCACCCCAAAGAAATAATTCCATTAATATTTAGTAGAGCCTCCTTTTGCTGCAATAACAGCTTGTAGATGCCTCCTATAGCCACAGACTAGTCCCTGAAGTCTGGCAGGTGGTAATTTGGCCCATTCCTCCATACAAAATGCCTCCAGTTCAGTCAGGTTTCTTGGCTTCTGTGCGTAGACAGCCTGCTTCAACGATGCTGGAACGATGAACAACTGCACCATCAGCAGCCAGATGTTCTTGTAGTTCTCTGGAGGTGGTCTGTGGCTTGTCTGTGACCATTCTAACCATCCTTCGCCTGTGCTTTTCCTGTATTTTTTTCGGCCTACCACATCTTTCCTTCACAAGGACTGTTCTTGAGGCCTTCCATTTCAGCACTACATTTCTGACGGTGGAGACAGACAGTCCAAACCTTCCAGATAATTTCTTGTACCCTTCTCCTAATTCATAATAATGAATTATCTTACTTTTTAGGTCAGTGGAGAGTTGTTTAGAGGCCCCCATGTTGCCACACTCTAAGAAAGAACCTAGGACAAGCACAGCCAGCAATTACCTATGTTAAACAGCCTTTTTCATGATTGGTTCCACCTGTCTTTGTAATTGAAGGTCTTACGAGCTAATCAAAGCAATTTTGTGCTGCAACCTGTCAGCTATAAATCCCTACAGGTCTTGAAATGAATGCGATTAAAAGGGTGCCCAAACTTTTGTACATCCCATATTTTAACATTTAATTTTATTATAATAAAACTATGTAATACTACTCTAAGAATTTTGGTCTGGAAAACACTCAAATGTCTACATCTCTGTAGGAAAACAAATCTTGTTGCTGTGATCTTCTCTTATAAAGGTAGAGCAAATTATCATGAAATCTCAGAGGGGTGCCCAAACTTTTGCATACCACTGTATTTATATAATTACTAAACATAATAGTGTAACTTTAATCGTATAGTAGTTGAAGGCTGAGCTGATTTGAACTACTTTCTATATTGTTTAGTATATAAAAAGTGATAACTTAAGCTGTCAAATAACTGTAATGGAGTAAAAAGTACAATATTGTTTGAATATTATCTGAAATGTAGTCGAGTAGAAAATGTTCCGAGGAAATGGAAATACTCTCTAAATTATACTTAAGTACTTGAGTAAATATTACTTACTTTCTTTCCTAACAATCCCAATGTGAGAGACTTGAACAGGCAAATGTTCAGGGATTATTTGTTTGAAGAGAAATGGGGCCATTGTCACTGTCATAGTTCAAACAAACACCAAACAGGTTGTTCTGGAGGACTGGGTTGTACTGGGAAGCTTCCACGTGGGATTATGTTAAACTGTGTGAATATAAAACCGGCTGCAAACTGAGGAAAAATAATCCAACTCCGCCTGTATAAATAAAAGTTAAAACTTCCGTCTGTGTTTGTGTGAGTTGAGTCAGATGGTGTCATCTGTTCTGTGAAGGCTTTACAGATTGTCAATGTGTCAGCGAGGCTGTGTACAGATGGACTGCATAAATATCAAATCCATGAAAAAAGTACGGCTGCCAGTAAAACCAGGCACCTTTCAAATAAGGTCTCCAGTAAATGAATCAACAATCACGTTGACCACAAGATGATATTCATATCATATTTCAAATCAAAGTTGTTAAATATGTGTGGAAGTACTTTCAGGCTTTTCTGATATTAGTCATTAAATATCTATAGTTTTATAATTAAGTTGTTCCCAACTAAAATTTAAATATAAAGTAGTTTATTCTCAAATGGCAAGTCTTTTTGATCTATATACAGCGTCAGTGCTGAATGTGGGGCACCAGAAAATGTAGGATATCTAATGTTGTACTGCAGAAACTATGCTACAGAACAAAAAAAAAACTATGTGGACTGCATGAGACTGCAGTTTGAAATGTTCTGGGAACAGTGATCTGTGCTCTTGCTTTACCTACGACCCAGAGGTAGTTTTAATACAGTAACTATCAGGTTTATAGTTAACGTTAAGGGTAACCAGTGTTACAACAAGATGTGAAAGCTCAAAGTCCAGAAAGACCTTCCTACCTGAGAGCTCATGCCGAATTAAACCACAGTCTGATCACACACTGATAATCTGTAAAAAAGCAAAGGAGATCTTATTGTTAAAATAAAAAAACATATTCCACCAGAGACTTTAATCAATTCATAGAAAGAAAGAAGAAACCAACCAGAAAATAATACATCCTAATAACCTCAGTTGAAGCTCCACATGGACGATGCTGCTGCTGGCCGCTGTCTCAGGTTCAGTTTAAAATGAGCTCTGTGGCTTATAAAACCTGCTGGTTAATGTAACAGCCTGTAAAACAAGATAAAACCTCCCTTTGAACAGGTAAAAACTAAATTAGTTCAGTCAAAGCAATACATTTTTCATGTTATGATCCATTTCTTTCTTCTCCTTCTTACATATATTGCATCAGTACTATTGTCAATGATACTATACATCATTTGTATATGTGTATATATATTATGAGCTAATACTTACTGGTATTATGAAGTAATAACTGCTGATTATTGTAATAATTTAACTTCATTTCTTTGTGAGAAAACATTCAACATACAGCCAGTTCCACTCAGCCAAAGATGAGTCTAAATTAAAGAGATTTAATTTAAGCAGCTTAATAATAAAATCAAGGCTCATTTTCACAAACAAGGATCAATAAAACAAAATAAAAAACAACCAAATTAGATGGACACAATTCCAAGTTTATAAATTCACTCTGTTCCTCTGAACACGCTTCAATATTCTGTCTTTTCGTGGAGCTTCCCTCCGGGCCGCAGTCTGATTCGGCTTTGATCCATTTCTTCAGATCAAAGGCTCCACATAGTTCTTCTGAAGTCTGCAGCACATAAACCAGAGCAGAGTCTTCCTGAACTCTCGCAGCTCTAAATCTCCTTAACGGCAGAATCACTCACTTCAGCGAGTCAGGTGTCTCCTTGAAGACGACTCTTCTTGGATCTACAGGGCAGATTCATCTTCATGTGGAGCAGGACGAATCAGAGGAACTGATTGACTTTTTGACATCTGGGTTCTCCTGCCTGTCTGACCACAGAGTACATTGAGACCAATGCATCTTAAATTGGAGATAAAATGTCAACTAGAATGAGGAACCTATAGCAGCATCTCTTTTACTACACAGATGATTTGAGAAAACAAATGCATCTTATATTAAAGGTGTGTATGCAAAACGCCGCTGTCTTGTCTTCCTGATGGCTCTCGGAGGGTCTAATCCTGACAAATGAATAATTCAACACATCACGTCAAGGAGTTTGAAATAATCCACCCTCCACGAAACATGCAGTGAGTCTGCTGCCCGACTCTATTACCTTCACTGCACTGTCATGTTTATTAAATAGACAGAAGAGTCCCATTTCCCCACAAGACTTATCTTGCTTCTGCCCAGACTCACCTCTTCTAAAGCAATGTGCTTTTCTCTGTGGAGAGATAAGAGAGATTATGATCTTTTAACACCCATGGGTGCTTCATGCGGCAGCGGTCACATTTTAGACACACCATGACCACGTGGTTGCCCAACTCTTGCTCTCTCTGTTAACTGAATTCTAGTTTTTACATGTGGGTCCCTGTGTTGTTTGAATATTGCACCAACACCGCGGGTTTCCACTGAGAAACTGCACAAAGTAATGTAGCAATGTGCCAACAGAGGCAGACTAAAAACCGCAAGCTAGAAAACATGGATGTAAACAGTGCATGATTTGAAATATTTAAACAAATGATTCACATGGAAGGAAACGCACGAGACATTTGTCAGACCTCGAGGATACACACAGAGGGCCGTTTGGTGAGAAACACTGAATGTAAACCTAACTTTTGTTTGTTTACAAGAAAAAAAAACTGTTGTTGTCAAGAACGAATGTGAAAGTGTGTTCAGACAAAAAGAAGCAGAAATCAACATTTTCCTCGTATTGTTCTGTAAACCTTTTTCGCCTTTATTTTCTACATTTGGATCAGCTCAGTGTGGAAGCCTGGACATGTCAATTTACTTCGAACCCCCACCCCGCAAAAATCAGAACAATCATTACCCTCCCTCTGTCTCACAATCAAAAAAAGAAAACGTTCACATCTTCACCACACAGTCACTCTCTCAGACATTAAATCAGTCGACGGCCTCCTCTCTCGCGACCACGTCCACAACAAAGATGAACCGGTGTCCTACTGTATGTGTAAACCCCTCCTCCACTGGAGGAAGCTGAAATGGTTAAAACCTTAATGAAAATCACCTCTCCTGCTCTGACTCGCAGCCCAGGAGTGATTAAAAAAAAAAAAAAAAAAAAAAAAAAGAATAAAGAAAGCATGATGGCTGAAATGAGAATGACACTCATGTAACTGTTCAGCTGTCTGGCTCACTGTGATATGAATAGTGAAATACGGCAGGTGAGCTTGCAAAGTGAGATATGTAGTTACGGATTAAGATATGTCTGCTGCTGCTGCTCTCTTTCTAATCCACAGTTCAACTCTACACTCCCTTCAGCTCTCTACAATTATTATTCTGTCCCTGATTAAGTCTCCTAAAACACCTCAGCGACGTCTCTTTGATATTCTAACAACCGGCTTTCCAGGCTTCCTTTCCTACTGTAGATTCGTCCTCAGGAGAGAGCAGAGACTCGCCTGTTTAGAAAATAAAAGCAGCTTTTTTCCTCTTTTGTACAGACGCAGGGATACGCTGATCTTCTGTCTGTCTACGCTACGGGCTGTCCAACAGCGAAGGAATCTGAGAGCTGTTTGTTCTAGTAAACAGGGAGCTGATGGACTAGGATTAGTACTGAAGACACGTGCTCGCACCAACGCATCCGTCCACACACACTCCACTGCAGGAAAGAAGCCCTTGGAGTGTATTTTTTTAAGAGGTCATTGAGAAGAAGATATGACAAAATGGATTAAAATATCAGGCTAGTGCAGCCTTTTTCCTATATGTATACATGATGCACGTTTGTGTGTGTGTGTGTGTGTGTGTGTGTGTGACACTATGTAGTGCCTTATGGGAGAGTTCCCTTATGGTTTAACACTACGTTAGATTAGGCAGTGAGCATCAGTTACATATGCAGAGTCCTCTGTGTGTATGTGTGTGTGTGTGTGTGTTAGCTCTATGTTAAACATCTTTAAAGACAACAGAGACGGACAGACAGACTAGGGTTACTGCTCTGTGGCACTCTCACAGGACTGTAGAAACAGACAAAACCATGTAAAAACTGGACATAGAAATCTCAAGATATCACAAACATCATATTTCTCTATCTCTAGATCTCTGCCGAGGGCAGACGTCAAGTCCTCGTGTTCGGTCCTCTTGTTTTTTTTTTTATACGCAGTCCCTTGGAAATTCCTCAGCAAGGAAGCTCCAGTCTGAAGGATGAAATGCTGAGGAGTAACACCAGAGGGAGACATACACTGCTGCAAGACTGTAGGAGGGGCTCTGAGACACGCACACATGACAGTCTCACACACACGCAGGCTCACTTACACATGCACCCTTCTTCATAGGAGTTCACCAGAGTTCATTTTCAAAATCCATTACAAAATTAAATAAAAAAAGAGAAAGAAATCAACAAGGAATTCAGCCCTCTTCTCAAAGCTTACATTCATCTCAGAATATACACACCCATTCTCTCTCTCTCTCTCTCTCTCACACACACACACACACACACACACACACACACACACACACACACACACACACACACACACACACACACACACACACACACACACACACACACACACACACGAGTGCACACACTCTCTCATAAGAGGCAGTCAGTAAACGTTAAGTGATGAGTTAAGGGGTGGACTGCTATGTCCAGGGAAGCTGTGACTGCAGAACCTCGACTCCACCAGTCTCATATCCACGCCCAGAAGCGAGTCACTCTCTGTGGTTAAAATCTCTTTAAAACAACAAAATGAACGTAAAAACAAACAGCCATCGTCTCCTAGAGGGAGTCTTTTGTCGCGTCTCGCTCTGAGGAGGGTCAAACACACTCCTCCCTCTGATTTCTGGCAGAGGTAGTACCGTCCAATCCGTCCTCCTCTCTTCCCAAATCCCCTCATGGGAAGTCTTTCCTTTCCTGGTGCCCAATTTTAATAAACACCGTCTGTTCCCCTGATTGCTTACTCTGGGCCGCTGTGTGTGTGAGTGTGTGTGTTTGTGAGGAGTGTGGAGCGTGGTCAGAAGACCTCTGGTAGTGTGACGTTGCGGAGTAGCCACTGTTGGGAGCGTGTGTGTGTGCAGTCTCTGACGCTGGGAACCTGGCTGTCCTCCTCGCTGGCCTTGTCCAGGCACTGGTTGCTGTTGACGTGGATCAGGGTCAGCTTCTGCACGGCAGGGAAACACAGAGAGAGAGAGTGTGTGTGTGTGAGAGGATGCAAGTCGATGTCTTTTATTGGTTCATTTGAATTCACAAGGGCATGTAAATAAATAAATATTCAAATAATCTATCTGTAGACAAGGATTCTCGTAGTCTCAATTTCAGAATGTTTTGTTTATTTTTGGCTTAGTTCAGTGTGAGGCACGCTGTGGTTAAGTTGGGTAACGTGTCAACGAGGATATATCGGCCTAAACCTGAAGACAATAAATAACCCACTAACTGAAATGACAGCTGGTCTTAAATATGTTCTGTCATACTGTACGTGGATCAGTGATATGCTCAATTTGTTATTTTCAGTTTAAATCAAATCTAGGAATGAATGTGTTCCTTTTTATTTATTAAGGAAAAAATAATCTGACTATTCTCTATCTCTCAAATCTCGATTTTCTTTACTTAGTTAAAGAACATTTTGTGAATAATCAGCATTTCATTTGTGTTTTTCCTTAATCTTTCTTAATTTTCTATTATTGGATGCATTGAGCTGTTTACTGTAAACTGTCTTGGCAACAGGAAACAGTGAAACTTTTGGATGAGTAGGGACATGAAATCAAAGTTATAATCAGTTCAGACCAATCATCTCCTTTTGATAAATTAGGGTATTTGTTGGTGAAAATTGAGGAAAAACTTATTTTCTTTTTAAGCTGCTTTATTGTTTGTTTTTTTGCTTTTTGTCAACTTCATTGTTTTCATTTAATCCGTCTTGTTTTATTTATACTAGTTTCAAATAGAAAAAAAACACATGATGAGCCTCCAAAATATAAAACTTTCCTTTTCTGGTTTAAATTAACTCTCAATTTTCTGTACGTTTCGAGACCTGCGTGAGAACCCCTCTGTGTGCGAGCTTGTGTACATTTACTCTATTAATGCATTCATTATTTCCCTGCATATACCGTTAACATGTACATTTTCATTATTTCTGCCACTCACCACAGGGTCGTACTCCCAGAGCTGGTTGCCTTTGAGGTGATGGCACTTGAGCATCATGACGGGCCCGTTTAGTTTGGACACGTCTAGACACAGGTCGTCTGTCCTGATCTCCTTATTGGCCGTGTAGGAGAAAACCTGCACGTCACGCAAACAGGTTCCACATTTTAAAACAAATCTCTTTCATCTTTTGCACATTCTTACTTGGGCTTCTTTCTCTCATGATTACTACTAGGGAGTACCATAATATAACTGTGGCAAACAGTGTTTCATTGTCTTGGTTCTCAGATACCTGGTTGCCTCCCATGCCATGACAGTTGAAAATGCCGACTTTTTCATTCTCCTTGCGGGCCATGTTGTCCAGGCACTGGTTGGTCTCCACGTTACGGATCTGAACAGAATTCACACACAGAAAGCACATTAAGAAAACACCATTACCCTTTAATTCAAACAAGATTCAGATTTGTTATGACTGCTTGGATTTCAGCAAGGCAGTGACTCGTAAGATGCATTTGTGTGTGCGTGTGCATGTGTGTGTGTGTGTGTGAGAATGATCGTACCTCTCCTAGGGAGTAGTAGTGCCTCGGGATCTGGGAGTCAGGGTAGACGTTCTCCAAGTACCAACTGAACGGTTTACATTGAAGCTTTTGTCTCAGAGCTGAACGAGACGTGATGTCACCGTAGTCCACTTTAGTCACACCTGGACACACACACACACACACACACACACACACACACACACACACACACACACACACACACACACACACACACACACACACACACACACACACACACACACACACACACACACACGTCAGTATTAGTACTATTACACCAAACAACATTCATACAGCCAAGTGTTTGTTGAAAGTGTGTTCAAGCAGGATTATTTAAAGGGTCTCGTTTGTAAAGTAGAACAAGGCCACACATTGATTTCAAGCACCCAAACTCAGAAAACTAGTATCATTGAATTGCAGAGCTCACTTATCTGATGGTCAAGTACCTAAAAAAGCCTAATGTTGAAGTGACACTATTGAAACCTCTATATGCTAGGTGGAGCTAGCTCCTTTGCAGAGGTCAGCAGCTGTAGTCGGCCTGAATGCATGACTGAAAAGATAAAAAAAACCCAACAACCTTTAACAACTTTAAAACCAATCCCACAAACATTTCAAAGCAGCCTCGCAGGGATAATCCACTTCTTTGTTGTCAGTAATGATGTATGAGTTGGCTCAATATGTCCTAAACACTCAGATAGCAGATGTGTTGGTTCACCCACGTTGGAGTACCTGCCTCCTACTCCTCCACTGATGATGAGTGTGAGGAATCTCATGCTCCATTTTTTATAGGATGTGCAGGGTCAGACTAACCATTGCGTGAGCTATAACAGAAGCTCTCCTGACTGGAAGAGCAGGAAACAGGCACTCTAATGTGTTGTACAGCCTGGCTGCAGGTCTCCGAATTGCTGTCTCGTTTTAGTGATTCCAAACTGTCTAGTGTTGTGTTTCCCCAGGTGGAAAAACAGACAATCAAAGCTGTGGGTAAAAATGAGGAGGACTTCTTCCTGTGCCTTAGCTAGATAAATAGCGACGATAGAGACATGGCCACAGAAATGGCGATAAGCTGTACAGGTTGTTGTGAGTTGACTTACATGACCCCTGAACCAACCTATTTCCTCGATTGACAACGTTAAAATAACTGTGCCGAGCAACCGCTACCATTAACATCTTCTGTGCCAACTGAAAGTAACTTACAAAAAGGACAGACTCATCAGTTTTGAATAAATAAATATCCCTCCGAAACCAAAACCGGCTGACATGTTTGGCATGTTTAGATCTGGTTTGACAATAACAGAACAGTTTACTAAACAAAAGTGAGTGAGTTTGTGAGCGAGTTCAAAGTTAGGTGCTTTGCATCTAAAAATATTCTCTACTTAGGGAGTTTTGGTTTACTTTTGGTTGTCTCTCCTTTGCCAGCTTGTGGGAATGTGTGTGTGTTTGTGTGAGTCAATAGATGCTTAGTAGCGTGAAATTACTCGCCGCCCCCCGTCCCGCACTGTTGGGTCACCACTGCAATATCACACTGTCACTGGGTTAATGGATAGATCACAACTGCCACAGAGATTAACCTCCACGCATGAGCACATACATGCGTACTTGCCTGAGAACACACGCACACGCACACGCACACACACACACACACACACACACACACACACACACACACACACACACACACACACACACACACACACCAACTCACCAGGAGAGATAATATAGAAGAAGTTTTTAAATTCATCCATCCAGACTTCTGCCAGGCGCCGGTTGTTTTTGTTGATGATCTGTCCCGTTCCTCCGGGAAACGTGTAGGGCGTTGCCTTTCTGAAGACGTGACCGACGTGAGAGCATGTGACAATCTCTAGCGTCCCACCGCACTGCCAAATCTGTGAAGCACAAAGAACACACATATAGAGTATTACTGTGTAGAATAGACATACTGTATGTACAGGCCTAACCTCTGCAAAGGCTGACCAGTGAACTCTACTGGGAGATGGATGACGCACATTGGTCCTGCCTGTGTTGTGACAGTCTGAATAAAGTTTGATTGAACGCCAGTCAGAATGACGCCTGACAAAGTATTAGTCAAGTCAACAATTTAGTCAGAGTGAAACGCACAAGTGTAATGTACGCATGTGTGTGTGTTTCTGACCCTGAGCAGACACTTCTGAATGCCTGCCAGTGCTTGGAAGAATACAGTCATGTCAATTGGCTGTGGGTGTGTTCACTCACTCTGAAAGAGATTTCCAGGTTCTCTCCACCCCAGATGTCCATGCCTGCGTCATACGTGCCGATCTCCTGGAAATAATCTCTGTCTATGGAGAACAAGCCGCCTGCCATGGTGGGAGTCCTAGAGAGAGAGACAGGAGAGCAGCGTAAATGAAGATCGAGGTTGGTTAGTGCCACTTAATTCACCGATGGCCGGCTTTCTAAAGGTCACACCGTATCTTCAGATCCCATCAGAGTTTTATATTTCACCGCTTTCACCCTCTGTACTTCATGGTTTTCCTGTTTTTTTCATTCTCTGTTTTTCTGCTCACTTCACTGTTGGTTGTGTCAGTGTTTAATGGCCTCAATGCTCTCCCCCCCTATTTCTCCCCCTCGCAGAATGGTTTCCTCCTTTGTAGATCAGGTTTATTTTCTTTACAGCCTGTTTTTGCTTTCATTTAACTTCAACGTTCAGTCACCAACACACAATACCTTGCATACAAACGGATAAACACAGATGAAACACAACCTGAGAGCACACAGGGTAATGGTGTGCTTGCAGCACTTGGCTGAGATGAGGAAATAATAAGCAACACAAATACTAGCTTGATGAACAACACACAGATGTTGTTTAACAACACTAGATTATAACTGTACAATTATGGCAATATTAATAATAGATACGTCCTTTTCTTTTTACTGTAAACGTATCAAAGCCCTTTAAACTCTTCAGCTTACAATTAAATCACTACTTTTTGCAAGACTCAAACACATCACAGTAAAAACAAACAAAAGCTACTCATTTGTGGGAATCTTTGAAATCTACACTGCAGCACGAAACGATTTCTAATTAAAGACATTTATCTAAACAGTGAGCGTCTTATCACTTACAATGATAACAGTATTTACATCCTAAACCACACTGTGACATTGAAATAAACATAAACACTGCTACAATGAAAAGCAAAAATTATAAATACAGGTCAGTGTTTTGTACCAAGTAAATCAAAAAGTATTTCTGTCATGTGTTTTTTCCCCAGGTGATGCTGTGGTAAACTCTCTCAGCTTTTTGTCGGCAGGATTTACAGCATATTATTGACACAAGATAATTTAATATGTTCAGAGGATTTTTATAAATCTTATTTAGACCTTGGATACTTGTGTTTTTTTTCTGTCCAATAGCTGGAAAGAGATACTTTCCAAGTGACCTCAGACTTTTGCACAGTACTGTAAATTACAAGGTAGATGAGCCCATAACAACCAGTTTAGCTGAGGTTTCCTCCTGTACCGTCACTCCACGAGGCTCCTCAGAGTCACAGCAACAGGCCCATAGCTTGCCATGCACAGGCAGATGAAGTTTAAATTCCAAACACCAAATGCACATGTGAGAAGTTGAAATCACGTCAGCGTTACTTCTACTCCTGACGTATTCTACTGTATCTACTCACTCTATGTGAGCTATATTGGTGCACGACTGAAACCTAAAACACAAGCTTTATTCTGAAAAATTGTTTGTGCAATAGCTTTCAGTTCTTCACAAATATGTAGAACTACTTCGTGACAGGACAGGGTTTATGTAAATCATGTCATTAGTGTGAAGTACTTCTTAATATCCTACCCTGACACTACAACCCATTTTTGTTTTTTAGGCCACTTATAAGACACCCTTAGGAACATTTTGTCACGCAGAGCTGTGAAAAACAACCAAAAACAGGGGCACAGAGTGTTACATAAGATATATTATGTGTGTGACCTTGAATAATGGCGTCAAGCATGCTTAGAAACAAGAGCAGGAAGGAGAGATGATAGACAGGCAGAAATAGGCATGGGCCATGAGAAATGATACAAGGAGCAAAATTACACAGAATCTTACATAAACATATTGACTTTAGCTACAGAGGGAAGTTCAACCTATATTCTTGCAGTATTTCTGCCTTAGTTAGGAACATTTTATGATTATTAACTGTGGTTAATTAAATGGTGATGTGCTATTAGTCTGTGCACATCAATTGTAAATACCTATCAGCAACGCTCAAGCTCACTAGATAGGAGTTATTTCAAACAGCTGACTGACTGTGTTAGTGTGTCTGATTCATGTCATATTTTACTAATGATTCCATTTTGTCCCTGTAGGCAAATTCTCTTTTCACTTCACTCAACAGAGAGGTCAGGGCCAGCTGCACAACAGAAGCCCCTGGAGCTGGTGGGTATTTAACCACTAGCTGAAACCCGGATCGTATGATTTGCTTTATCACCCACCTGACAGGCAGCGTGCGGTCTCCTTTGCGGCGGTCCATCTCTCTCTGGGGAACAGGGTACCAGCGAAAGTTGAGCTTCCAGTTGAAGCCCCCGTACGTCATGTCAGATCCCGCCATGTACTCGAAGGTGTCATCGCTGATCACGTCGATGATGGGGCACACCACTGTTCTCCTATAGAAAATAGAAACACAACACATCAACACACACGCACGCACGCACGCACACGCACACGCACATTGATCAGCCTGCTGTTCATAACCTTGGGTGGTCATCAATCACGACTAAGTGCTCCTCTGCAAGGTGTGGCACCTCCAGAACCAAATTCATTTAAACAATGTACCATGCTGTGACTTCCCATCACCCATCACTCATCATACCTTCTAAATCCTATTTTGTTTGTGTGTGTGTGTGTGTTTATGTGAGTACCTGCTTGCAGGAAGCAGTTAAGACAGAATGAGTAATTAAGCATCAAATAAACACAAGGGCAAGCCCCCGCAGGATCAACAATAGTTTATTGATTTTTTTTTTTTATGCTTGCCGTTGGAGTGTGTGTCTTTTGTGTATGTGCGCGCCTTACTTGTCTTGTTTGATGCGGGCGAGCAGAGGCTCTAGCCACCCCGTTGTGCATTCACAATGAGCATCCAGAAAGGTTATGACCTAGAAACACAGAGAGAACACATTAGACAAACCTGACAGTGCACACACCATATGGAGTTCAGGTCACTGGGTGGTGGGCATCACATATGTGCACACGCACACGCACGCACGCACGCACACACGCACGCACACACACCTGTCCAGTGGAGAGGGATGCTCCCTTGAGGCGAGCACGAATAAGTCCAGACCGCTGCTCCATCCTCACCACTCTGACAGGGACTTCCAGCCTTCTGACATACTGCTCCAAGGGCCGCTTAAGGAAATCTTAAAAGTACAAACACATAGAAAAAACTTCAATAAACACACATAAGCCCACACACAAGACGGACACACACACACACACACACACACACACACACACACACACACACACACACACACACACACACACACACACACACACACACACACACACACACACACACACACAGAAGCTGGACTACATGCTACTCATCCAAACTATTGTTTCTGCAGCCACAGATCAAAAGGTTAAGTGTGTGCTTGTGTTTTTTTGCTTGTGTGAATGTGCCTTAGCACGCCTGCCGACACCCTTTCTACCTGCAGAGAGCCCCTCCTCCCCCTCCCCAACACACACGCCCTCTGACTTGCACTATCCAACCTGAGGTCCCATAGGGTGAAATGGTGCTGTGTGGTGGCGGCTGGGGGGGGATTGAGGGTAATAACAGAGTGTAATCCCTGCGGCTGGCGAATTAAAGACCTAATCTCCCCCAAACAGGGATTAGCAGCATTGCATAGGGTGGAGTGGCACACACATAGCCTATATATGCTGACTGGCTGTTGGGCAACAGCACAGACACACTCTCACAAACACACACACACACAAACCCAGCAAAATCATACAGTAGCTCTAAAAAAATAGGCTAAGCCTCAAACAAGAGGCACAAGCACTGAAGGAATTATCTGCAGTGTTTGCGTGTGTGTGTGTGTATACCTCGCTCGCTTGCATCGTCCACCAGGACAATCTCCTCCAGCAATGTGTGTGGAGAGCGGTCAATGACGGAGTGGACGGTTCGCAGCAGTGTGCTCCACGCCTCATTATGAAATACAATCACCACGCTGGTACGAGGAAGATTATCTGGGTATAACTTGTTCTTGCACCTGCAAAGAGGAAACAAGACATTCAAATAAAATAGTTAAAGCTGCTTTTGATATGGAATGCAAAGCAAATTTCAAATCATTCAAACACTACACAGGCAACACACTGTCAAAATCACATGGCACAACAACAGAAAGTGAGTGAACTGCATCAAAATCTCACACAGACACGGTTTCACAAAGTCAACCACATGTGCGATAAGTGAAGTTGTAGGCTTTTAACACAGACAAAACTGAACTGACAGAGACAGAGCGAGAGAAGAGAAAAACATTCTAGTAGAGACATCACAATCCAGCTTCTGTCTGATTGTAAGAGACTGTTACAGGGAGAGCGAGAGAGCTGCAGCTAAAGTGACTCTACACAAGGAGGAGATGAACAAGAGGGAAATGGCTGGGACTTCAACATCAACTAAACCGTATTAGTCAGTCACGGAGTCACTGCATTAATCAGATAATCATTTATGGCCTCGTAAAAAATCATATTGAATTACTTGTTTGAACTACTGAATTCAAACAAAGAAAACTGTGAGTGAATAATGAGCAAGCAACCAAGCGTATGTCCCCAAATTTAGACGGAAAAAGACAGACACACAGAATTAGCAGGTCAGCATGATGACAGTTGATTAGTGATGCTAATTAGAGTGTGAGTCATTATCATAGCAGTGTAGTGCACACACACGGAACTCTCTTATTGAGACACAGAGGAGAGCAGGCATGAGTGGAGATGGATATTAGTGAAGTGAAGACTGTCACAGGCTTATTTATATATTCCCTGAGAAATTATCCAACTGGTGGGTTTGCTTTGTAGCCTGGCATTGCCAGACTAATTCGTAAATGCCAGAGCAAATGAAACATCATTAGCTCTGCAGATTTGTCTGGTTCCCAGCCTATTTGCTTTGTTTAGGTGATTAAATACAAAGTTTGTGTAATTTAAATTACACCTGAACACTTTCCAAAGCATAGATAATGGTTTTAAGGTTCATTTTCTACCTTCCAGGCAGCCATTGATTAAGGTTTATTTGATTTTAGTATAAAAGTGCAGAAACCTCTTTGATGTTGCTAGTTCAACACAGTCAAAGTTTATTTTTACCTTCATTATTTAAAAAAAAGCAAAATCTGCATCTGTTTTTTATGATACTTAGTACTTTCATAATACATCATACACCATATCAGAAGACTGTATCTGTATTGGGTTGTAAAAAAGACAATTTTTCAATTTGGGTGTTCTTACTAAAGAGTAACTGATGACATTTAAGGGAGTGTCATTTCAGAGTTACAGTATGCAGACTACAGTAGATGCTGCACAGAAAAACACACATCCACACACTACACTGCAAAATGTATGTACAAAAGACATCTCTAAATGAATAAAATAAAATAAACCACAAAGAAAGTACATGTCCGTTTTGCTAAGGCTTTCCAGAAGTATATCACATTACATCTCATACAGGTTTCGTAATCATCTCACCTACCAAAATTAATAATTACATTTCTAGGAAAGAGTGCTCCAATGATTGAGAATAATACACATATTACAGATTGACGGACTGATCTGCACAACAGATTGCAGAAAATATGGACTCATGCAATTCCAAATTCATGTTAAATGCTACTCGCCAATTTAAATAAGAGATTAAGCTCACATCTGTTTAATTGGATAGGACAAGCTAGAGTCACAGAAGACAGAAGAAACACTGCCGCCTGCCATGACACCTGCATGCCTGACATGAAACTGTCTCACAGTCTGTATCCTCTATTGACGACAAAACTGAAACCTTCTTGTGACGTCCCTCCTCTGATAGATTCAACCCTCACAATAGCCAAATGAAATATGATCTCTCTTCCTCCAACTTCATAACTCCCTCCCATCTTTGTGATCATCCAGAGCACTGGAATGCTTCCTCTCTCTCTGCTGCTGATTCTGACAGAAGGAATGTAACAGCAAGAGACGAGGGGAGGTCAAGAATATACTCCATCCTGCAGTTGCCTCTCGAGCATGTTAAATAACACAATAACACACACACACAGTGATTCTCAGTCTGTGGTGTGCATACTCATACTCTCTGCAAGCAAGGGAAGTTGATGAGCACACAAGATGATTCACTGTAAAAACAGAGACACCCTTGGATTCTTTCAACTTTTGTGCACATCAGTTCATTATTTCTCTCGCCTCTGTTTCACAAACAGAACAACTGAGACTTTTCAGTTTCAGACGGGATCTTTACTGAGCAGCTGATGGAAAAACAAGACCTCTGTGTGTCTACCCAACCAACATGTGTTGACACGCGAAGGCAGACGCATGTCTATGTGTCACATGATGTGGATTTGAAAAAAACTGAGGCGTGGTTGTGAGTCCTGTGTATCCAAACAGTCAGGGTGCTGGAGCAACACTTGGCAACAGCAAAGCAGTGTAATGAGTTACAGGCTGCTTCTCCAGCCAGTGGATTGTGGGGATAGTTCGGACGGGCGGGCAGACTGGTTCTGATTAAACAGCATCACTCTTGCGTCATTAAACACACACACACACACACACACACACACACACACACACACACACACACACACACACACACACACACACACACACACACACACACACACACACACACACACACACACACACACACACACACACACACACACACACACACACACCCCTATGCATTCTCATAAAATGCTGCAGTCAGGATCTCAAAAAAGGAGAAAATGTTTTCTGAAAGGTGTGGTCATGGAAAGTGTTTTCATATACTGTAGATCCACCCAACCACATGCACACACACACACCGTCTTGACTGTAATGTCACAATGACCTGTCCTTTTTTTTTTTTTTTTTTACATCCAACAACTGCACTGCTGAAAATACTGAAAATAAACCATCAGCGACTTTCCGCTTCAAAGTTTCAGCTAATGGCGACCTGCTTGGCTATGATGAATTCATTCACAGTTTCCCTATACCTGCCAATTCACACACACACACACAAATAAACACATTCGTACATGTGCATACACACACAGACACATTGCCTTGCTTGATATTGACTCTGTCTTATCTCCTAATTGGAAAAGCAGATAGACGGAGAGAAGGCTGAGTGAAAACACACCTAGTAATCAACTCCCGCTCAAAGACTAAAACCCATTTCACGGATCAATGTCCTCTTTCTTTCCTGCCTGTCTAGTGTGCATGTGCCCCTGCCTGTCAGTCCTGTGTCTGTCCTTCAGTCTTTCTGTCTATCTCTCTGAAAACCTTCATTACTGATCTATGCATGCTCCTCTACTGAAGCGCAGAAAAGGGCCGAAGGGGGATGGGAGGCCGAGCTGGTTTCCACCTGCTTGAACTAACCTTGACATATCTTCTAAGCTGCTGGCCGGGTGCACTCCTGTCTGCTGTTCTGACTGCCTCTCTCTCTCTCTCTCTCTCTCTCTCTCTCTCTCTGCCTGTCTGAAGACTGAACATCCTGCAGCCACTGCACTGACAGATCCTTAAGTAACACTAAACTCCTCATTGTAGAAAAAGGACTTGTGAATTGCTCAACCTAGTATTACTAAAGCAAGACAAAAAAGGGGAAACAAAATCAGTTTCTTCTTTCTGAGCATTATTCTAAAGTTTACTTTTGTTTGGTCTTGATTTTATTTACATTTTACTAGAGCTGTAAGACACTTAGATTAAGGTGTGGTACACCAGAGTTCAAAGTGCTGTTACCTCCAAGGTCTCATGAAATGGTATCATTACTTCCTTAATGTGATGTATTTCCTGTTGAAACAGCACAATGAGGTATCAATCTTTAGGCTGAACCAATGGGCTATTGCTCATGGAGAGAAAAGCAGTTTGATTTGATAGGACAGGCAGAAAGGCGGGATTGTTGAGAAATTATTTTATTGGTTGGACCTTTTAATCATCCCCTAGAGCTGCATGAGGTCATCACGTGAAGTCACTGGCTAACTGTGTCCTGATTCCAGGTTCCCAGAGTAATTCTAAGCAGGTTTTAACAAAGATAAAATAAAAATACTCAAAACAGTGATTGTGCATACTAAGGGCACTTTCACATCTGTAGTTTGGTTCATTCGATAGGGACTACAAGAAATAAGTTATACATTGCTGCATTTTATCTTTTTGTTCACACCGGCTAAAAAACAAGATGACAGTTTTGGCCGCGTCTTGTGCAGCAATGGTATGGAGGGAGTCACTGTTGAATTGCTATGTCACACTTTTTAAGGGACTTAACTACACATAGGGCATGAGCACATCACACTGCAGTTTTAATGGCCTGATCTTGCTCACACGCAGAAATGTTACAATGTTTATCAAATGATTTGCACACATCACTTATACAGATTGGTTATTATAAGAAAGCTTCCTCCGCAGTCTCAGTCTGGTTGATTAATTCAATTTAAAGCTTTTACAGCAGACCGAATAAGATTTCTTTTAACCGTGGTGAAAGCACAAAAGCTGGTGATTTTTGATTGTTTTGAATGTTGGACTGTGCTGTCCCTACATGCACTGCACAAGGGAAATCGAGGAGCGGCTCACAGCTGGAAAAAATTCAAATAAATTATTTAACACCCTTAAAAAAACAAAAATCAACTAATAAATCTTTGGGAAACATTCTGCTGTCTATGTGTGTAACTGGGAGTAGTATTTCAAAATTGCAGCTCGACTGACATGCATTGTTACATGTAATGTATAATTTCCTGTTAAGTTTAAGACACAGTGATTGAAGAAAGTTTTTAGAACATTTTGTGCACAATCAGTTTATGCAATTGGGACATACTGAGTATTTTACAGAATGTCAGTGCTCATGGATTCTTTCAGACCACCACAACTTGTCTAATTCACTGATTTAATCTCTTTGTAAAGCATACTTCTATCATATAATGCTAAAATATAAGTATAATTAACGTTGTTGTTGAGGTTATGCTCTCTACCCTGACTTATGGATCCATACATCTGTCTCCCTCTATGTCATTATTCATAACTAACCTTTACAGAACAGTGGCTCACTGTGTGACTGATTGTGCAGGTTTCAGCCCAGCCTGGCTTGGGTTTTATAGTTGATCACCAGTATGGACCATCCCAACAGTGGATGCCACTGACAGCCATACTGAGGTGAACTTAATGAGTGGAGTAAGAGTAAGTGACAGGACAGATGATTAGCTGCAGGGAGGCTGCTCACCCTTCCAGGCGGACGTCAGGCAGCGACCGATTGAGGGCAATCATCTCAGAGGCCATGAGGTTGAACTGGTTGATCTTAAACATCTCCTTCATCTTCTCCTGGTTCTCCTTAGGGATCACCACAGGCTTTCCCCCTTCACCGGGCCCGTCCCGCGGCCTAACCAAGGCATCTGCAGCAGATTCGCACACATACAACACACTCAGAGGATGCTGATGGATACCAGAGTGTCTCTGTGATCATATGTACTGTATGTGTTAGGCAACGCCCACTCACCGTCTCTCCCGGGCAATCCTCTCTCCTTTTTGTCGTCACACTTGTTGCACTCGCTGAAGTAGAGCAGAATGAACATGTCCAGCATCACCCACACCAGGGAGGTGGCCAAAACCACCTTACAGTAGGCGAACCTCCTCATCCTAAAAATGTGAAGAGAGGGAGAGAGGTAAGGGTGATGGTAAGTCCTGAGCTGTTAAACACAATCAGAGGCCAAAGCTCTGCAGAGGATATCGCTCTTCTTTTCTTCCCCTATCTCCCTGCCTTTCACTCCCCAAAGCCCCCATCCTTCCCACAGCTCTACGCCTGAGTATCTTCTCAATGCCTCCATTTGTCCTTCTGCCCGTCTGTCAGTCTGTCGTGTCTGTCTGACTCTCAGCCCTTATCTGTCGGCTGTTTATCAGTGCCTCTCCAAATGGTCACCTTCACACTCAGAGCCTCAAAAAGAGCACTGTGCATTGTTGGATTTCTGTCTTACATCACTCCAGTAGAAAAATAGTTAATCTATGAGGGCATTTGTAAAAGCTTATCGGTTAGGTTAGCGTCTGGCACCATTATAAGCCCAGTTAATATTGACATTTGTGTTTTAGTGAGGATGTTTGATGGTATCTAAGCAATGCTTTAGCTGCTTTCAAGTTTCAAGTGGAAACAGACATCCAGTGTATCAGAAACACCCTGCGGTGTACAAGCCAATCTACCCTTTATACATTTAACATACCAAACCCCTGTGTGCTAGAGTGCGCGCGCATCCGCACCCACACACACACACACACACACACACACACACACACCCACACCCACACACACACACACACACACACACACACACACACACACACACACACACACACACAGCAGAGAGTGAGGAGCTGTGATAGTAATTGCTTTTCTTTGGCAGGCAGGGAGACAGACACAGCCACATTAAAATTCCTCTGCTCCCCTTTCCTTCTCTCCTCCAGCACCATCTCTCCTCTCTTTGGCTGATTCTCTGCCTCAGTGATCCCTCAGGTTGCAGCAGCACAAGCAGAAGGGAGAAAATTAATTTGGCCACGGTGATTTCTCTCATACCCCTGGGAGGGAAAAAGGTGTTTGTGCATAGCTAGCTTAGTTTAGCTTAGCTTAGTTTAGTTTAGCTTTGCTTAGCAGCCACGAAGGATGGAAAACTGCAGAGCAGCATTTCTAAATTCCACCTGATAGGATTCTGGAAGCACAAAGTGCCGTGCACAGCAGAAAACAAGAGCGGAGATCTGTCTATTCTGCCGAAGTTTGTTTTTTCTCAGACTTATGTGCCTGTGGAGACAAATAGTTTTAGTGACAACTTAGTTTTACCAGTTTTACCAGGATAAAATTATGTACCATAGGTATGTACGGTACTCTGCAGCAGAGATCACCAACAATCACCAACAATCACAAACTTCATCCACACCAACATATATTTTAATCATAGACAGCTTAGCTTCCCCAAAATGATCACTGAATAAAATAAGCTACCAGCTACCTCACAGCATCACACTATACTGATCTGAGTTCAGTAGCAGTTCCACAATTCAGTACCCACACATTGGTATTCAACGTATGCTAATTAGGCCTTCCCTGGCACTGAGATCAGTGGGGAAGCTTCTTTGTCACACCTTTCCTGTTATTTTTTGCAGTGTAAAATTAGCATGCTGAATTAGTTCGTTAAATTGGGAAACTATGGATGGATTTGTTTTGAAACGTCCTCAGGTGTTGGATAACTTTTTTTAAACAACAAACCAGCAGTTTGCACTGCTTTGAGAATGTCAATGGTGAGTTTAAATATATTTTTAATAAACACGTCGATTTGGAAACTGCTGACTTTGTTGCGTTCTGTGTATTCTCGGCTATTTCATGCTCTCTCCCTTTTAGGTTGCATATTTGATCTGCTGCTGATGTGTTCTGACTCTGAAGCTGTTGCAGTCTGGGTACTAACACGATATTCTAGGACAACTCGGTACAAATGTGCTGTGCTTTTTGGGTAGTCTGTGTGTCAGGTTTGCCTGATGATACAAAATTTGATTGCAACTTAAAGTCAAATGCTCACAGTTGATTAGGTTAATTATGTATTTGTCATTGTCATAACAATATGATCATAATAATTTAGCTTCCCCATATCTGATGCCTATGATTTTAATGCAGGGCAGAAATAAACAGAATTATAAGTTCTCTCTGGGCAGCATGGCATAACACTGAATGGGGCCCTACCACAAATAGCCACTTTAATCATGTTAATTGTAATAACTACTCGCAGTGAGAGGTGAGGGCTGCAAATACTCAATAACAATAAGTACTAGGTCTAGCACTAAGCTACAGTTTGATAAACAAACCAATTACTGTTCTCAGATGCAAAGCTGACCCCGACTGGAGACTTAAATTTCATAGCTCTTGCCAAGCTTGTCATGCGATTCACAGGAGTTTTGTAATCTTGCAAGATTTTCTCTCAGGTTGAGAAGGCGAAACTGGTGCAAAGAAACCAGAGGTAGATAAATGCAACGCTCTGATCCCTAATCTCCAGAGAAGAAAATAATTCAATCAGATCAATAACAACTACAGCAACAAGGGGTTTTGACAAGGTTAATGAAACTGCTTCATGTCACATCAGTTTAAACTGGTACTCAATCAGCTGCAGATTGAATCAAATTTAAAATGGTCTCTTTGGCCTTTTTGACTTTTTCAGCATTTCGCTTTCCTGCACCTCTGGAGGTTCATCTAAGACAACCTCACTACACACTGACATTTCATTTTAAATGCTCAATTGTGAATTTTTTTCACATAAAGTAACTCTTGACCTAATTAATAGACAAAATAAAGACTCAATCAATACAATAAAGGTTGGTTGCAGTCCTGAACACCTAATGCACACACATTTATTTGTAGTTTCACTGATACATACATGATTGACTCTTTTCTTTGACTATGTGGAAATACTTTCACATCACAGGTGATGAACAAAGGCATCAAACAAGTAACATATGAGACTTGTGTAGACTTTTATGGGAGAGCTTTTTTTTTACTTTTGCTATAGTATATACAGTTGTGTGTGTGTTGTGTGTGTGTGTGTGTGTGTGTGTGTGTGTGTGTGTGAGACTGTGTGCGGAGAAGAAGATGACTCACTAGGCTCTGTAGTGTTCATTGTCTTGAGTGTTATCAGTGCAGCATGTTCACACCATTGACTGTAGACATGGTCCACACACAGGTGTTACTAGAAGTGTCCATGCTATACAGTATGATACTGTAACTTATCAAAGCTTTCTCTCTTGCCGTTTTAAACATCAACTTTCTTTGATATGTAGCCTCTGTATTTTTCTCCAAGCCACATTTAAGTAAGCAGGTTTTCTCCATTTTTCAGGGTTCCCACCACATCATTGAAACTCAAAAGACTGTTTGGTTTTACACTACAGTCAGAAAACCAGCATAAAACTTAATAAACATGGTAGATGTTATATCCCTGTAAAGTAAACTGTTTGGAGAGTTCACAGATCTCCCGGATATCCTCAGAGAATTGATCAAATTGCTCGTCTCACTGTTCAGATCACTCCTCTCAAAATTCTTGAAATTCCAGGAGCAGTGGGGAGTCCGAAATTCAGGCCCTTCTCTTCAGTCTCTCTCCTTTCTGTTTCTCTGACAGACTGTATCGGCCTCACTTGACCTCCACGCAGTAACATGACACAACCTTATATCATGGCAGAAACTTGGATATAGATCCTTTTTTTCTCCTTTCCTGGCGCACAGGCATAGCTTGGCACATCCGCCAAAGGCATAACAGAGCACTCAGGCGGAGACTGACACCGACATGGAAGCGCTCCTTCACAGAAACACACACATATACTCTTGCTCACAAAGTCGTGTCAAAATGCTGTCAGAGAGATGCCAGCTGGTTTACTATTTGATCATAGTGAATGTAAAAGAAGTAGACGGCGGCGCTCCAAGCAGCAGCAGAGAAGACTTATATGCATGTACATTGACTAAACGCATGCACACACACTTTTCCATCACCGTCTTTCAGCCAGGCCTCTCCACTAACTGTATTTCTAATCAGGCATGGCAGAGGACACCTCAGGTCTCCTCTGTGCTCACGGCAGCCCAGGGCCCTACTTCTGTGTGTGTGCTGCATGTGTATGAGTGTGTGTCAGTTTAGTTTATGTTGGGCGCTAGTCTCTTTGAAGTCTCTTTTAAACAGCCTGGCTCCCTATGACATTAAACAGACACACAATTCTCTCTCCCTCCATCTCTGCACTCTCTCCCTAATCCATTAACATATCACGTTCCCTCCATCTTTGTTTTATATCTCCATCCTGGGCATCTCGCTTTTTCTCTCTCAGCCACCCAACCCCCGCTCCCCTGTTCGTCTCTTAGTGATGTCGTCTCCTTTCAAGAGCGGTTGCCATCACTACTTCCCTACAAGAACACAATTTCCCCCTTCACATCCTTCTCTGTGTCTCTCTTCACATCCCCTCCTCTCCTCTTCTCCCCAGGCTTAATCCCCCTATAGAGATTGCACAACCAGTGTTTCTCACAACCACTTGGAAAAACTCTGGAGCCAGAGGATCCAGAGCTTCAATGGCTTCACAATTTATGACTGGGAGCGAGGATCCTCCCTTCTGGGGATTTTATGTTTATATGTGTAAAAGAAAATTAAGAGGGACGGAGGGAGATAGTATTTATATGAGCGAGTGCTTATGAAAGAGGAGGATTTGTGTGTTACGAGTCAACACAAAGTTTGTGCTGCTAATTCATATAATAAAATACTAACACAGTTTATTTGCTTGCTCTTTGTATAGCCTAGTTTCTTCTTCACGGCACCATATGGCTTTTACTCTAACCACTTTCTCCGTCATAAACGAGGGTGTAAAAATGTTATGTTGCTGTTTAAAGCATCTCTAATGAGTAAACCAGAGACGGTGCTATTCAAGTCTGTGAGCTGTCCTTGGGTCATGTGGGCTCGATAAGCTCAACAGTTTCCAAGACAACGCTGATGGGCGCGGTGATTTTCTGAACAGTTGTAATGCCTCTCAACTGGAGCAGAACAAGGCACAGGCTAATATTAGGTAAGTGAAACAGAACAAGGTGGCCTGGAGCTTGTCTCTATTGCTCTCTATGGAGTAGCTGAGGTACGCAGCCGCTACTGGCAAAAAAGCTGGGGTCACTTCATTTCCAGGTCATAACCTTGGCTGCAGAACACAGACTGGTCCCGTGGTGGAAGGAGAGTGAGACAAGGACTGAGACAGAGAGAGAGAATGATAGTTTACAGTATCTGTGGATATTTTCATAGGATGTGTTGTGTACTGTATATCCACTGTGAGTATATTCCTATTTGTACATGCAATTTCCTGCATCCTGAGCATCCTCCTCCTGAGTTTTTAAGTTGGCCACTTCAAATCACCTCAGCTAACATCATGAAAGTTAATACACTTTTATGAAATAACACTTTAACATTTAGTGAAAAAGAGTGAGTGTAGCTGTCATTTAGCTTGTGTCTTATCGTCATGGCTAAACCTTTAGTGAAGGAAGCCCGGAACATAAGACAACAGCATGGGCGGCTGTAAGCTTTTACAAACCAAGTCTCGTCTCCAATGACCCAACTACAAAACTATCAGAAACAGAGAAGAAATGCGGGGCGCACGCAGTGAAACTCGATTCTGTTTGTTGCCCCGGAGCTCTCTAGATGTCAGCAGCCATTCCAGGAAGACGCTCCTCAGTATACCAAGATTTTATAACTGATCGTTTTATTTTGCTAACAATGTGGAAATCTGATATTTTCACATCACTTATAATGAACAAAGGTACTGAAACTGGTAAAACAGGAGACTCATGTAGGCTTTCATAGTAGTTCAGTGTGGGGCAGGTGTCCAGTGGACTTGTACTATGACAGGGCGGAGGTTGTCAATAATATATTTCTCATCATAGTAGATAAGGTTTATAGACATATCTTGAGTTGATTTTGAGTTTATAGTTATGATTTCTATTCAGTTTCATCTGATATATTTAGTAAGTAACTGACTAATAGATATTTAAATTTTTTTATCTTCCTTATCAAAGGTGCATGTGTTTATCTAAAAAGGTAGAACATTGGTTTCTATTGCAGAAAGAACTTACAGTGGTAATGGCCTTAAAAATCAAGTATTGGTTGGACTTTAATAGGCTCTATTTTGCTACAATGGCTACTACCAGAGAGAGACAGGAAGACAAAGTTTAAAAACTAAGTGTAAACAAGGTAAAGAGTAAAACACAAGAGAACTGCCCATGGCAGCGCAAAAGTCCCAGCTGAAATTGATTACCAATGCAAAGCTTGGCACAAGCACAAAGTGGAATTAAACACTTCAATCTCCAATCACTCGGGCATTTTCGGCCAAAATCAATACTCATTATTGTCACAGGGGGTGTTCCCTTGACGGTTGGAGAGAGTGCTGCTGCTTGGCTATACAGTACCAGCAAACAACAGACACACAGCAGGCATACAGCAAAATGTACAAAAATAAATCAATTACAACATAAGAAAACACACAAACCACAGCATCATGGTTCTTGGTCTGTGTGACACCAGTGTGATGTAATTTCTCTATTAATAACTCCTAATCGCACAATTCCCCTCCATTGATGTTCACTATCACTCTCTAGCAGAAACTTTCACCTCACAGACATGCAAAGATACAAGTTGAGGCTCTGATGACACTAATTGACACGGGTGAAGAAAAAAAATAAAAATCACAATACAGCTATTTAAACACCATCACAGACTGTGAGTTAATTGGTGATAACACGTTCACACGTTCTCTCACACACACACACACACACACACACACACACACACACACACACACACACACACACACACACACACACACACACACACACACACACACACACACACACACACACACACACACACACACACACACACACACACAGTCTGATCAAATCACAATTCTTACAGTCTGAGCTGCTTGACCTGGCAGGTTTGTGTGTCTGGCCTCTGCATGTGTTTGTCTGTATGTCAGCTGTTCTCAGCTCTGTTACTCCTACTACTACTTATGCCAACCAGGCAGGATTTATGTGGCTCTGGTATCACAGCAGGGTTTTCCTGCCTACAAACCACTTTAACAGTCTGCCTCCAGTTTTTTCTGAACATTAAAATGTGAAAAATGTGACATTACACTGTGCTTTTACTTTTTAGACAGGAATTTGTCCCAATGCAACTATACTGTTCTGTGGCAACCGAAATCTAAATCATGTTACAGTGCCATGAGCAAATAAGAGCAATGTTCCTGAACCTGAATCCATTATCTGTAAAACCATCAATAATGTTATTTTATACAAATATTTGCCTTTTTCGTATTGTTAAGTATTACTTAACCTTTTAGGAAAGAACAGAGATAAATGAGACTTTTGTTTTCCTTTTCTTAAAAGACTGAAAATAATGTATTATTTACAAAATTGTAAATAATACCCAATATTGCCCAATATTTTCCAAATTGCTGGGGAGACATGGGGAGACATTCAACCCTATGTCTCCACACACAAACACAAACACTTTAGCAATGTCACTACCTCCTCTAAGAAACAAATAGAACTCAAGAACATGGCTCATTAGCAAGGTCCAACAACTATAACAATTGGATCGCGACGCCCTGGCAGCTCACATCTTAATCATCTTAAAAATACAGCTACAGTATACCAAGTCTCTCACCCATGCAATTAACCTTTTGGCACATCTATGTCCTAATACACTTTAAATAGCTACAGTAGGTTAAATACAATTAATTACCAAAAAAGAATGAAAAACACTTGAGTGGCAGAGGCTATTTAGATTTGACAGAAAAGGCTACTCTTAAGGGGAGCTGATGAAGAACAGCAGTGAGGATGCTCCTGAAAGAAGTACATCTCAGTATGATACACAGGAACCACAGCATACAGAATGCAGAGATGGTTTTGAAACGCACTTGAATAGATTTTTAGCTACATCAATAATACCAAAAGCTTCAACACATAAGAAGAAGGTTGAGATGGACGAGGGAGCTGCAGCAGCAAGCGCTGTTGCCATGAGGATACCAGCAGAGTAACATTAAGGACAATCAGGTTATGTGACTCTTCAATGATAAACTTCCAGCATCTGTGCGGTTTTTATGTTAATTGAGTTTTTTGTTTCTTCTCTGTATGTATTTAATTGAATATGTTAGTCCTTAGTCTGTGCAAAAATGCATTGTGAAGTTTGGATTAAGCTAATATGAGGCGCAGCTAACCTGCTGCTCCATTTCATACAGCCAATCATTCGTATAGTCATACCTGTCAGAGTGACCAAAGGGGTCTCTGGTGAGATGTGCAGGGTGCTCCACCAGCAGAGGAGGCGGAGCGTCAGAGATCCCACTTCCTCCTTTGCTCGTCACTCAAACATGCTCCTTGGATAAGACAAAAACAGGAACAGACTAAAAATATTGTTTCACTACACATGTAAAAATAGCAGCATGCAGGCTAAGCAGTTACACAAAAAAAATCTCATGCAGTCTTGAAACTGAGAGTCTAACTCAGGAACATTAGGGAACTTTGTCTTCCTTTTATTCGTCCCTCTTTAACATTTCAGTTACAGTATGTGGATTTTTCCAAATGTTTTTTTAAAAGCAAAACCACATAGCAACCACAGGAAGACCTGAGAGAAGCTGTTACTTAACAACCTCAAACATACTTCTTGGCTGTGTATGCACAAATAACACTCATCTCTCACACATAATCACACAGTCAGAATCACACAATGTCACCAGGCATGTTACCAGTTGTCAGTCATTTTCAAATTGTCAGTCTAGCTCTATATCTCTTTGTATTTTGTTAGAAATACATCATCCTCCCTCCTCCCGCCTTCCGCACGCACCCAAAGGTCAAACATAACCAAAGACTCTGCCAGCCTTGGAGCTGGATAAAAAGAGGGGGAGGGAGACAAGACAGAGGGATGAAGGGGTAGAGGGATATAGGGATGGACAACTGACGGATTCTCAGAACTGCTCATTTCACTGGATTAATCTGCTATTTTTGAAAAATCCACAGAGAGTGAAGATGAGAGTGAATATGACTCAGTGTGGGTGTGTGTGTGTGTGTGTGTGTGTGTGTGTGTGTGTGTGTGTGTGTGTGTGTGTGTGTGTGTGTGTGTCTGTGTGTCCTTCAATCTGGTCCTTGGCCTACTTTAAAGCCAAGTCATCATTCTGGTCCACTGGGACTTCAGATTGCCAGCCTGTGTATGTGTGTGTATATTAAGAGTTTGTATTACAAGAAGAGCCATACCATAAATCTCTTCCGCCAGCCCACACACTCCTGAGATAGTGAGTGTGAGGAGGCTGTACTGCAGTGCAGGTATGCTTCAGTATGTGAAGGGTCCTGGCCACCAAAGGTGTCTTCTCCTGGGTGAGTCATCATTCCTTATCTCTTCCTCATTCCCTCTCTGTTTTACACACACTAGTCACAAACTCTCTTTTTATCCCTCTATTCTCTCCCTTTATCTTACACGCACCTCCACAAAGTTTGAGTGGAATGTAATCCATCTGCAAATTGGAAGCAGGACAAGCAAGAGCATCTATAAATACTCATCAGATTCCCCTGACACTCACAAAATAAACCCACAGAACCACACACAACACTGCAGTGCAAATAGAAACCCATCTCTGTCTCTTTCTGCAGAGCAGACCTCTTTCTGTCTTCACTCTGCTTTCTGTCCGTCTCATGCAATAGTCACCGCATGAGTGCTATATGTTGAGGAGAAAAAGTACCAAGTGAGGAAACACAAGGAGGAAAAGAGAAAAGAAAATGAAACGCACTGAGACAGAGAATGAGAGAGCAAACCTTGTACAACATGGTTTTACAATACGTGAATTTGAAAATCGAGAGATGCTGCATGTCTGTGCATTTTACTGGGCTCTTAGGCAGGAGTGCAGTAAAGTTGCGAGGTCTTCCAACATATGCAGCTACCTCAGCTTTTTCTCCAGCTGGGTATTAATTGTCCTTTTATTAAATGTAAACCCTGACCTCACTCCCTTAAAACCACAAAAGGTAGTGTGTAAAAGCTGCTGCTGCTTTAAAAACACACCTGACTTTCAAACACACACAATTATACCGGCTTTCAACACACAGAAGCACACACCTCGTACATCAATATGTAATGCCTCAGTGGTGGCCAACAGATGGACACTTAAATGTGTAATGCAGAGCAAGTGAACAGAGGTGGACTTCAGATGCTGTGCCAGTGGAACATGACATTGTAGGCCAAAACTGCACTCATCCACAGAGCAGAGACAGAAATATGCTCTGTGTTTCCACTAACCCTTCAATCAATCCCAAAACACCAATTCTTTGCAGGAATGGCCCAATACAACCTCTTGGACTGGTATCAGTGCCAATACTGACCTTATTAAGCAGATAAGGTATTGACCAGACGTGAGTGTTCTATCACATAGTTTTCTGTTCTGCTCCATTAATTTGTTGCAATGAAAACCCCTCAAGTCAGGATCTACTAAAAATGTAACTGACTGGCTACATTACAAAATCTCATAAACGGTCTAGCAGAATAATATAATTAAACCATGCACAAAAAATAATGATAGTGTACACTTACAGTTAAGACTGGGCAGTGAGGCGGTATTATTTTGTTTAAAGATTTTGGAGAAAAGACCACTGGTACCATGTTCAGCACAGGCACATACCCTGAGTTTTTTTTTTTTTTTGAGAGAAAAAATTAATAAATAAATCAGAACAAGATCAGTGCCTCCCCAACTTTCTGCTTCTTACGGTCTTAGCCCTCCCTCCTCCTTACTTCTCTTTGTTCCAGCTGTGATCAGCTGAGAACCAACGCAGACAATGTAGCATGGCAGCCAAATGGCTGGGCCCTCATCATTCCACTTTAGTCTTGCCTCTATCTCTGTTCCTACAGAACACTCCCTGTTATTAATACACAAAGTCTGTCTCTTCTCCCACGCAGGCCTCTTTCCATTCAGTCTGGGTCGACGTAATTCCTGTCGTAAATCCAAAAGACCAGTGACAGAGGCAGACAAAAAAATGGTGAGGTGAGGAGGAGCTCATGGGTCGACTAATGATGAAATATCTGCTAGTTAGCCCGAGTTCTCTTTCAGCAAACATAAATCACTTAACACATACCAGCCAGACCTCTCTATATCCACAGCACTGTGCCAACCCTAGGTAAAGGTCTGGCTGCATCCATTATCATTCTGCTGTAGGGGGAAAAACACTGTGGCTTGTTTGTAGATTTTGTATAAGTTTTGTAATTGTGCATTTGTAGTTTTATATCTATTTGTCTTAAGTAGCACTAAGTCCAAGATGCAGCGACGGTGGCCCTGCAAACTTGTTCCTTGCAAAAGGAAAGGTAAGTGTAGCTTGTACTGTTAGCAACCAGGTTCTGGTAACTTACCATTTTCATTGTGTGGGTTGCAAGCTTGGAGGTGTTTTTTTCCGTAGCATAGGGGATTTTGTAAATGGTAACGCACAGATATGAGAAGGGGAGCAGAATGCCGTGTGAATTATGGAAACAATCAACCACAGTCTACGTCTGGTGAGTCAGACAATTTCAAGTAGAAGTGGGTGATAAATTGATTAAATCGATTAATACTTTTTAGAACAATGCAAAAAAAAAAGGCTGAATTGGAAAATCGAGATTTAAACCACGAATATTATAATGTGGGGATATACAGCTGCTAAAGACTCGTAACTCTTGTAAAACAAGTGTCACTCATCTCCAGGGGAATGTGTAGAATAATTTTCCACTCGATGCTGCTTACTTCCCCTGACTGACAAAGTGCTGTGTTGCGTGTTGCTGAGGCATTCAAAAAGGACCATCCTCTCAAACTGCTGTTAGACGCATCTCTGCAGCTGCCTCTGAGACCCGGGACACTCTGTCCTGGGGCCGTAGAGCACTGGAGGGGTGTCCAGCACTCAAAATAAAAATACAATAAGAATAGCACCTGGGACTCAAAGATACAGTTGAATACATATCATTTTAACTTTTTTGTGCACAAAACCAGCACAAGCTCTACTCTACGTCACACCCGTGCTTACACACACACAATCAATCATAGAGAGAGATCAGTGTTGCCAACTTCATCTCTAGATTAAGTGACTTTTCACAGACTCTAAGCGAATTTATTTCTTAAAAGCAACTAGTGACAAATTATGAGACTTATTTAGACCATCGAGGAAAGGTGAGAAATATGTTCAAATATATTCATTCCCATGCATCCTGATTGGTGTAATCTCAGTCCCCGGCTCTTTTGCCAACAGCACTGGGGTCTCTCCCTCTCCTCTTGCACTGCTTGCATGTAGTCAGTTGCTGTGGCGTTTGCACGTTTGACCTCCTCTCTCATTCTTTCCCTCTGGATCTCTGGATTAGGGTGTTTCTAGCTCACATGTAAATAGTTAGTTTGAGCTTGTAAATATTTACATAGTTGCTTTGATCTTCTCAGGGAGGAACATATAGGGAGGGATATATATATATATACACACACACATTCAGATTTAAGTGCAGGAAACAACTAGCAGGTAACTTCTGTGGTGTACTAGTCACTTAAGTGATGCCAGTTACTGAAATAAAGTTATATAACTATATTAAATATGTAGAATGAAAAACAATGGTTGGTAAGTCTGGAAATAGAATTATAGACAGTTGTGGAACAGCTGAAGAACAAAGTTAACTTCGAGCACTGGGGTTGTCTTTGAGAAGACAAGTCACAGTGAGAGGGGACCAGGGTCTTGGCAAGGCTCACACCATGGAAAGCGAGCCCTCTGATTCATGAGATTTCGCAGGGCAACTGGCTCCTTCTGCTCTGCTGTTGGTTTGATAGGAGGGGCTTAGCGGAGTGATACGATGCGTAATGTTTTGCATTGTGTATGTTCAAGTTACCTACTGCAGCTGTGACACACACACACACCATGTGGTTTACAACATGCATGTCTGCCCCCACATGTCAACTTGCAAGCTACAGTTGGCATGCTAAAGCTTGAGGGCTCTGAGGCCTCAAAGCAGGACTGACGCCAAACACGTTTGACAAGCTCTGAAATGATCTTTGCTCTGAATTTTAGAGGGGTAGTGTGGGCTGAGCTAAAGCTAACAGACAAATCAGTCCTTTACAATTCCCCAAGCTCAGCGTGAACACACTGTGACCAACCAGCCATGGCGAAGCATTACACTTAACTGTTCTGCTCTCTTCCTAAAGACTGCCAGGGAAAGACACAGAGAAGAGAGGAGAAACTGGGTAAGACAGGGAGAAAGGTCTCTTTTCTTAAAACCATGTGATAGCTTGCTATGAGCATGAGGTGTCTGTGTGTTTGGTTCCCAGCCAGGGTTTCTACATGTGTTATGTGACTCTGTTTGTAGCGTATGCTGTAACAGAGGGAGTCCAAAGATGAC